GCGCTATTCTAACTCTAAGTGTGTGTCTGAAATGTCGAAGAAAACCGAATGGTCTTGTACTTGAACACGACCCTGGGCCCCCCTGAGAGGTTAAGTGATAGCACAGTGTTTGTTGGTATAGAATACTTCGAGGAAATTGATCAAGACGTCTTACTGCATGTCTGAAACCGATTTGTGTGAGCGGGACGCAAATGGCACGACCGCTTCCTGTCCGATATCCACCCTCAGTACTTTCTTTGAATGTGTGCAAGGGATAACTGTACCCATAAAGTTGGTAGGAGTGTTCGGTGCCTGAACTACCCTCCAGTGTTGGCATCCTGTCACTGTATCATCGCCCGTTGATAAATTATAGTTGTCAGTCAATAAATAAATACATTTTGTGATTCAGAAAATATTTTGGTTTGAATTTGTGTGCAAGTAGGTTCCTGATCGCAGAGGCGTGTTAACGGAGGTTCAGTGTCGTTTCCGACAATGGAAAGGATGTGTTTTTAATGTTAAGCCACATAAAGTGACAGTTGTTTCGCTTTAACTTGTGTTCGAACTGAATGAGACGGAACATCTCAAGGCCATCTGTGTGTTTATAGATACAGTAACATCTCCATTTAGACGTGACGTGTTTACATCGCATACGTCATTACCGTATACAGAGTAATTCGTTATTGGTCTTTATGATTCAGAAAATTCATTGTCTTAAAACGACCATGTGCAGACCAAAAACAAAATGCGTTTAAGACACGGTTAGTATCTGGTAGTAAGACAAGCTTTTTGACAGCAGCACAAATTCGGCCCGAACTAGATACGTTTAACTACACAGACCTGCTAGGTAGGAAGTATCGCGATGTTGAATTTCGTTTGTTTCAAGTGCAATCCTGGAGGGGCGTGGCACGTCTGAGCAATGCTACCAACTTCACCACCACGGGGGTTGACAGATCGTAATTGTAGAAGGGGAATAATTTATAATAATAGTTGCTCATAAAAGTGGATGGCCTGGGTTCGATTCAGCCTTGATGTACGTGTTGCTTAGAGCCGAGCCATGGGGGAGTGCGACGATGACCCAACGCAAGAGCAGGACGACCTTCTGAAGGACGGTCACGGGGGAAGGGGTGGGAGAGGCACGCCGGGAGACGTGTTCATCAGGACTGCAAGCGAAATCAAGAGGGTGCTGCCATCGATATTCAACCTCAAAGTGGTGAGTCACGATAAGAAACCACGTTTCACATCCATACAGAATAATTGATAATATTATGTTTATAGTATTTAAAAAACTGCGACCTTTATGCGGCAGAGTGAGGCCTGTAATGTGTGCGAATATAAATACTGTATGTAACTCCAGTGTCGCTTAAACACACTTAACAGCGAAAACTTGTAGCTTTTGTAAACGAGAATTTTTTGTTTAATAATAATAATAATATTAATAATGGCTTAGCGTATTACTCGTCAAAATTGACGGGAATGAACCCTTATCTGTGCTGAACAGTTGTGAAATTTATTGTAGTATAATCTTTACAAATTTCGCCGAAAGTACAAAATTTATCAAATTTATTTTCGAAAAAACTGAGTTTCTGCATTGTTAGTGGGGAAAATTTGACACATGCTGACTAACATCTGTGTTGTTCGAAAACGTTCCATGGACCTGATACGTAACGTTGAATACACCACGATTACAGGTTCTCGGAGTTTTTACCTTTCTGAAATCTCTTCAAGGATTAGAAAGTCCAAGTTTGGTGAAAATTGGCGTTTCCATTCTCTCCACCGTTTTAACTTGTCGCTGGAGTCGATGTAGCATTGAGAGGCAAAGCCTGTGAATCACAGAGCTGCTCTGAATATTCCAGCCGCTGACATCAACGAAGTGTATGGGATATATTTAACTAACACTCGGAGATGCTCTCTTGTTATTAACCCGCGTCGTTCGTATATACAACTGTCTGTTCTACAGTGTCTGGAAATTTAGGATATTATATACCTTTAATCAGACTTACTTATCTTATGATCCATTACAGACATCAATGGTATTCCAAACGTCATTAATACGAGATCGTAGGTATTTTATAGTGCCACATTATGAAGAGATACGCGAATTTTATTACGACTTCGTTTATGGAAATAACATGGCGACTGAATGGAAATATTTTGTTGTTTGATTATCATAACGCGATGTGTAGTGAAAGTATTCGAGGGCCTATCTTGATTTTGTTCGTCTGTTCAGAATCACGGACTGTAAAGCACGGGGAAGTGGCTTGGGTTAGATTTTGGATGTGGTCATCCTTTTATCGCCATCTTCGGGAGTCTGTTGTCGGCCTTTTTATTATCCGAGTGATCCATATTTTTCTGCCTCGTCAAGGTTCTCATGCGAGTGCTAAATGTCCCTTCATGAAGGTAACTACAGTCGTAAACAAGCATGAATCACACCTGTCCCGCGCTTGGACACAAATCGGCGGTGTCTGAACTATTCCATCCAGTAAGCATTATAGCGTGCGTGTACCAGCGTCTGAAGTGGAGTGCCGAGCTGAGCTGGGCGGGTCAAATGCCCACCCTTCGTGATTCCACGCGTCTTGCCTCACACGAATCATTTGAACTGATATGTAAGAGACCAAGAACTGGGGATCGCGTGTTCCTTTGAGGCAGAAAGAATGAGAGACACTTCATTTAACGAGGGGGAACATAGATTTACGGCTACGAAGGTTCCAAGGCAGTGCCCGCTCGTCATTCTGTTAGAGGTAGGTTGAAGAGAAGGTAAGGCGAGGAGAGAAATTGATCGATTTTGAAATTTTGTAAAAGTCAAATTCTGGTTGAAGCCGAGGCGCGTTCAAATAATGTTGAAGAATTCAGTACGTGCTTTTAAGAATTCACATTTTACCATTACGAAGGTCGACTGGTCACTGCTGTTTCATCTGAGAATCATACGAAACCTATAAATACAAAAATGCGTAGTGAAACTGTTGAAGCTGGTGGTACGAGGTGCGATCGGAAAGTTTCCAGACTGCGCGTATAAAAACCCGTACACTTATCTCAGGTATTAAATTTATCCATCACCCTCGAAGTAGTTCCCCTGGGAGTGAACACAACGATCCCAGCGCCGCTGCCAAGCCTGGAAGCATCCCTGGAAATCTTTCTTTGTCAGCCTGTCAAGCACCATCTGCGATTCTGCCTGAATCTCTTCTATCGTCTCAAATCTCCTTCCCTTTAGCTGAATTTTCAACTTTGGGAAGAGGAAGAAGTCACACAGAGCTTAGAAAGGAAGTTGGGGTCGGTTCTTGCAAGATCTTTAAACTCCTGACAAACGAGAAGTCGATTCTGCTTCTAGTCCTCTGACAGGATGCGTCGCATGTGGAGTTCATCCTTTAGAATCAGCTGACAGGTCCCATAGCCTATCCCAACCCGTGTGACTTCTTCCTCTTCCCCAAGATGAAAATTCAGCTAAAGGGAAGGCGATTTGAGACGATAGAAGAGATTCAGGGAGAATCGCAGATGGTGCTTGACAGGCTGACAAAGAAAGATTTCCAGGGATGCTTCCAGGCTTGGCAGCGGCGCTGGGATCGTTGTGTTCACTCCCAGGGGAACTACTTCGAGGGTGATGGATGAATTTAATACCTGAGATAAGTGTACGGGTTTTTATACGCGCAGTCTGAAAACCTTCCGATCGCACCTCGTACATATAATTACCAGTAGGCTTTAAATGGTTAAGGTGCGACCAGACTCTTGCTTGTTCTGCAGAGGCGACTTGCCGATGCCAGAGAACTCTGGCGCTGTGACCCAGAAGACAGACATCTTCTCTCTCACCACCGTGAGAACCTCAGATGCTACTTCGCTTGTTCTTTATTTTGTTTGGATTAAATGCTTATATTTTGCGAATTTTTGTGATTTTTGTGTATTTGGACGGCTTTAGCGTGCATAATGGCCATCAGATACTAAAGTGGACTTCGTTAGTTTTCATATGCTGTGCAGTTTGTTTGTTAATATGGATGCCAAAGTTTGTAGAACTCGTAAAATATTATTCATAGCAGTTAAAAGTACTCCCACACAACACTATTACGCGCACTTCAAACTCTGGGGCGTTATATGCGCAGGCGCACCACGAACAACGCCTTGCGAGTCGTCTGTGAGAACTCCTACGGTCGAAAGTTGAAGTAGTCGCGATCCGTGGTCATGACAGTGAATTTTTTGCGAGCTTTTTCACATATAATAATGTCGTGACATTTGTCAGTATAAAAACATGTCCTCAGATGTCCGCGGCTGTTCGTGTTGGAGAAATTATCTTGGTATGGCCAGCTGGGTACAACCGAGTAACTGGAAGGAAACCTCGGACCATTGCCGCTTAGTCCAACACGAACCTCACTTGAAGCCACTCGGTACTGAAGTGAGGAGCCAACGAGGCATTTATTTCAATACAAAAGTCGTCTACCAGCTGATCCTTGCCTCAATTCCTCTTTCATTCCTTTATGACGTTTGACAGAGGCGATTGTGAATTTCCATTCACAGGCCCATCAGAACCTGAGCTAAGGACGTGGCCAATAATGTCTTTGTTTCGTTAAAGACACATTCACGATAATGATAGACTTTGTTCGTTGATTGTCAGCTGCGTCTCGAGTTCCTCGTCGGTTAGCGGCACGTAATGTCTCACAACCGGAAGTTGGTGACGTCAGATTTCCATTTCTGTTCGTAACCTTAATGCGGCCAACATTTTCTTGCCATGAGGATTATGCTCAAAGCAGCTGGAGTGAAACACCTGGACATTCAATGCCACGTGCCTTTCAAAACACTCTTGAAGTCTGGGATACTTGCACACAAATTTCTCATACCATTCGGTGTTTTTGTTACGTAGAATGGGATCCCCTATGTCTTGGTATGAAATAGGAGTTTAACGAACGTCACAGCTGAGTCGTGGGTACCCTGCTACGTGTTAGAGAAGTCCCGAGTTCAAATCTCGGCCCGGAAACCGGCTATCCTGACAGAGGCTCTTCGTCGCTTTCCTCAGTCCCTCCAGGCAAATACGATAAATCTTAAAATTAGCTGGGACCGAATTCTTTCATGTGTTGGTAAGGGTATGCAGCTCACGGAAAATATGTACAGATAAACCCTCGTTATCCGTTGTTTTTCATATCCGCTCCTTTTACACAACTGTTTCCATATCCGGGGGAACAGCAGTGTGGATTCTGTCGTAATAGATCTGCAACTGAACACGTTTTCTACATTCGCCAGATACTAGGGAAAATATGTTGATTGAATTAACTCAGAGGACTGTTTTCCAGACCACGGGAAACATCCCGCCACGCCGGCGTCTGGCCAATACCGCAATGCGAATTCTGCGTTCTACATAGCGTAACCGAGGGGTGGGGGTGGGGACCCAGACGCTTGGAGGCGGCGTTTTGGAAATAGGCCGTTAATGCTCGGTGTCAGCAGAGCGGGAAGCCCGTTTAACGAACATGAGTCACGAGTGTCTCTGCCTCATACCTGAGCCTCTCTAAGGGCAACAGTAAATTTTTGTTCGTGATGTCAGATTGCTTGAATTCGGGCTCGTGTTCACATTTAGGCGCGTAGCGTAAAATAAAATGGCGCCTTGCAGAAGTA